CCAGTTCACTGCGATAAAACGCAGCACAGCTCACTGCACCATACCTCCAGGCGGTGTTGCAGTGTGAACAGGACACACAGAACACAATTGTTCTGTGTCCTAGTAGTGACCTGTGTTCATTCAATGCATTAAAAAACGCAAGTCACTGCTGGTCACTGAGATGGTCAGAGACTGGGGACCTACCACAGGAGATGGTCAGAGACTGGGGACCTACTAAAGGAAGATGGTCAGACTGGGGACATATCACAGTGATTATGCCCACAAATCGCTAGATGTGAACAGGGGCCTAACCTAACAGCACTGGAGACTCCATCATCAACTTTGACAGTTTCCACAGCCAAACAATCTCGCAAGCTCTAATTATCTAGTATGAAGGAACAGAGGTAATTCACCAGCAGCACAGCAGTAGTAGTAAGCTAGCCTGAGGAGAACACAAGAAAAAGGAGGGACACACCTGGACTGGAAAGGAGAGCAGCAACCACCACTTCATCCACATGGCGAGCCTGCCGGTCGGCAGATACACAGCAAGCATCCTGCATTCTCGAGCTCCTCCCCCAAAGCTCCTCCTCCAAGCAGAGGAACTGCAAGGACCGAATAGTAATAGAGCGGTGGGCGGGACAGAAAGCTGGCCTTCGCTCTGTGCTGCTGCCTCATGTCACAGTCAGCGCCCTTCAGACCGCCCAACCCAAGCCTGACAGCACGGCCTGCCTAGTGGGCGCGGCGCCGTGGGCTGTGCAAAACCGGGTGAGTGCCTGCCCTGCACACATGCCGTTGACAACTCCACACTGCTGAGGCGGAGAGGCCAATCAGGAATAAACTGCATGGGATCGCTGCTCTGCCAATAGCCCACACATGGCACCAACAAAAACGCAGCACATCAGACACACCATTCAAATGATTTTTGGCATGATGCTCTGGGGGTGGGGGTTGTTTGAACCCCCCCCTGATCTACATCCCTGTACTTACCGGAGCCTCATCACGATCCAGCGATGTGAATGGCAGCCTCGTCTGCCGCCAGATATCTGCCTCCTCATTGGCTGTGACAGCAAGGGGGAGCCATTGGCTCCCGTTGCTGTCAATCACAGCCAGTCAGCCAATGAAGGGGGGGGAGAAGCCACAGCTCAGTGTATGAATGAACACATGGAGCAGTGGGTGCCCCCATAGCAAGCTGCTTGCTGTGGGGGCACCCAACAGACTGGAAGGGCCAGGAGAGCCTGTGTGGGACCCAAGAAGGAGGATCCAGGCTCTGTGCAAAACCACAATAGGTAAGTATAAACATTTATTTTACAAAAAAAATAAATAAATAAAAAGAAGAACCTTTAGAATTTTAATCCTACTGCATGTACTCAGCAGTCCTGAACTTCAACTTTCTGGTTCAACTTACCACTTACTGTAAGTATCAGAAAGATTAAACTCCATGTTTTAGAGAACGTTAAACAGCTTTTTTGGACCAAGCTTGTCCAAACAAATGTATACAGTGACTGTCATCCAGTATACAAATGCAGTGTTCCAGCAGCAGGACGGGGACTTCAGGAATAAAATTGAGTCAGGCCAAGCTCTTAGCTATTCACAGGAAGCCTAGCATTCTCGAATTGTCCGAGGTGGAGAGGCCAAACAGAGGAAGGGAAGTATTAATTCAGAAAATAAAAAAACAACAAACAAACAAAGAATACCCCATCCCCCTGCCAAACAATGCTGTATAAAACAAACATCACAAAACAATAGAGCAGCTCTAAGATAGAATGAAAATAATATATTTGCAGTGCACTATTGTATTGCACAAACTCTGTCACCACAAATTGAAAAAAAAATAAATAAAAGGAATCCAAATGTAAAGCTAAAAACTGAATTCAGTGGTTTTTCGATCATGAGGGAAATGAGAGATGTGGATACCAAATGCCACCCAAAACTTCTTGATGAACCACACAGCACCTCAATGTACAACAAAGGGAGGCTTACCAGAATCACATGACCCCTAAGAGTGGTCACACGGCACTTGTGTATCAATCCAAGATATCCAGCTTTCCTCAAAAGCTCATGTCAAATGATGGTACTGCTGTGTAAGCCCCGGTTCACATATATACGGCCGTACATGCCTTGACGTCGAGCAGCTGCACATTTGTGTGCAATTAAGAAAAAACATATGTACTCACAGCACGCACCCTGCACGCTCCCAGCACGCATGGTAACTCACAATCCACCTCTCCATCCAGCCTCCGCCATCCTCCAACCCCTCAACCCTCCCCTCCCCTGACCTCATAACCGCACTACCCCCCACTATACCCAATGCCCCGCACACCATCACCTCCCCAACACTCCGCTCCTTCAGCCCAACTACCTCTGAGGAGGTTTCTAAGGTCTTCACTGAAGCCCGCCTCACCACCTGCCCCCTGGACCCTATCCCCTCACAGCTCCTCCAGTCACCCCCCCCCCTCCATCATTCGCTCCCTCACCCACATCTTCAATCTCTCCCTCTCCACCGGCACCTTCCCCTCCCCTCCAAAGCTCGCACACATCACCCCCATACTCAAAAAACCTTCCCTTGACCCCACTAACCTTAGACCCATCTCCCTCCTGCCTTTCACTTCCAAGCTACTTGAGACGCCTGGCCTACAATCGCCTAAGCATCCACCTCACTGGTAACCTCCTTGACCCCCTACAGTCTGGCTTCCGTCCCCTGCACTCCACCGAAACCACCCTACTTAAAATCACCAACGACCTCCTAACCGCCAAAGCCAAAAAACCTCTCCGCGGCTTTCGACACTGTTGACCACCCTCTCCTCCTTACTAAACTGCACTCCCTTGGCATCAGGGACGCTGCTCTCTCTCCTGGTTCGCCTCCTACCTTTCCCAATGCTCCTTCAGCGTCACCTACAACACTGCCACCTCCCCCTCTCTGTCGGGGTCCCCCAAGGCTCTGTCCTCGGGCCCCCTCCTCTTCTCCATCTATACCTCCTCCCTTGGCAAACTTATTCACTCCCACGGCTTCAATTACCACCTCTGTGCTGACGACACCCAATTTACCTCTCCACCCCCCACCTTACCCCCTCACTCTCCCCCGTGACAGCGAATCACAGCAGTCCACATGACCCTGAAACCCTGCCCCGCCTCCCGACCCTTTAAGGGTTTCAGAAGCTGGGAGGCGGGACAGGGTTTTAGGGTTAAGGGGTTAAAGTCTAACTAAAAGGTAAAACATTTTGTTTTAGTTCTGGAAGGAGTGGAGAGTGATCAGAACAACTATTCGGTTTTTATTGCGATCTGTATCCCCATTAGGGAGATTCACCCTCAAGTTGTCCTGTTTACCATGATCATTGAGCCCTGGTTCACACCGGTGCGACATGCAATTTACAAATCACACCTGAAGTTGCATCCAATGTATTTCTATGGCACGGTCTTAATCGGTGCAATTTGAAGTATCGTGGTTTCAAAAATAGTTCCTGCACTAATCCAAATTTCATTGACTTCCGTTAAATGAAGTTGCAAGCCACAGTGAAATCGGGGAGGTAAAAATTGCGTTGATCTGCAGCTTTGAAATCAAGTGAGATAGCACATTTCGCATTCAGTGTGAACTAGGACTGAAAGTGAAAGAAAAAAAAAATTAAAAAAATCTGGGTTGTCCCCAGAAAAGTAATAGAGGAGAAATCTTCCAATGGGGCCCCCAAAGCATTCCCTAAATTTACAGGGCTTTCCCCTCACTTCCTGTTTGAAGCAAAATCTCCCTTGCTCTATCCAAATTGGAAAAAAATAATGAAGTTTTGCCTATAGTTCAACTTTAATGTATTTTTCATGTGCTTCCATTGAGGTCTATGGAGCCAGGAAAAACAAAATATAAAATAATAATAATAATGCACTGAAATTTATATCGCCATTGGCCAATATGAAAATAAGCAACAATACAGGGAGGTGCCAAAATTAGCCCCGCTCCCTCGCCGTAGCCCCTTGCCTGCCGCCGCTCGGTAGTTCTCAGCCTTACCTGAAAAACCACCGAACGATCCTGGCATTGGGCCTACAAAGCAGGAAACATGGCCTCTACTCGTCTCTATGTCCTTGGAAGACCTGAGTGATGTTACTTTTGTTTCTGGCGCTTTTTTTTTTTTTTTTGATCTAATGCTTTCCATTGTACAGGAGAGATGTGGGGTCTTATTGACTCCATATCTCCACATAAATAGAACCTGTTACTACTACTTCTTTCTATCACAAGGGATGCATGCATTCCTTGTGATAGGAATAAAAGTGACTTTTTTCAATGAACCATGAACGTCAGAGCGAGAGCATTAATTCTAGCACTAGACCTCCTGTGTAACTTTACACTGGTAACCTGTAGAAATTTTTAAAAGCATCACTCATGGAGATTAAGTACCGTAGTTAAACACCATTCCACAAGTGTATGCAATTTTAAAGCATGACATGTTGGATATCCATTTACTCGCCGTAACAGCTTTCATATTTTACAAAAAATTGGGGTATATATTGTGGTTTGTTTGTTTTTTTTTAATCATTAAAGTGTATTTTCATTCCAAAAAATAGATATTCATTTTTTCAGTTTCATTTCAGTGCACCACAAAAAAAAAAACAAAAAAAAACAAAAACTACACATCACATGCAATGACATACCAAAGAAGCGCATAGGTGTGGACAAGTCCCGGAGACAATAATAGGATTCTTATTGTCATATTATCGTGTCAAATTTTACAGATGTGAACCTGTTAAATGTTAAAGTAGATGAAGACTAGAACCTCTTTCCCCCCTTGTCCGGTGAAAGTATTGTCAGAAGTTCTAATCCTTCATTCTTCCCAAAACTAGACAAAAATAAAAATGTTCGGCATCATTTTCCCTGATTCACATCAACGTCGCTAGGCTTGTTAGACCACAATAAAAAGGGACTTGCACCCCCTCTACATCAGGCCAGTGGCTTCTGAATCCCCTCAATACATATAAGCTGTATAGATTTTTGCACCCCCCTCCTCCAATACCAGAGATGTGCTGGGCCATTCATCCCTCAGCACTGACAGATGACTGGACTGCACACTTCTGTCTCTTCTCCATAGATCTCCTCTCATAGCACTTCTCTTGGGCTGGTCTTGCTAGGTTACCAGCCCACAGCTGCCTACTGCAGCCAAAATCCATTTACTGTATCACCATAATGTTCACAAACTACAGCTTTACTTTAACCACTTGCCCTCCTGAGGATATACCCCCCTTCCTGACGTTACTTTACCTGACATTTGCGCGGTCGTGCACCCAAATGCAATTTACGTCCCATTTTTCCCCACAAATTGAGCTTTCTTTCAGTAGTATTTGATTACCTGTGTGGGTTTATTTTGAGAATATAAATTTTTTTTTTGACCTTTTGTCCTTAAACCAGTTTCATACCATGCTATAGCCAATGGATGGCTACAGCGCGGTTGTCTGGTTCTGGAACAACGTCATTCCAGAACGTACCCCTGCGGCACGCACCCAGCGCTGCTGGTGATTGCTATGTCCTACGAACACAGCTAATCACGGGATACGTTAAGCAGCCAATCACGGCGGCCTTTTACCACGTGATTAGCTGTGTCCAATGACACAGCAGATCAGTGGTAAATACAGTTGCCGGTTATTGGCTGCACTTTCCCCACGCTGTCACAGCGTGAGGAAAGTCCTGCCGATAACCGGCAATTGTCAGAGAAATGATCAGCACTTATGATCAGTGCCCAGCAGTGCCGCCCACCTGTGTCCTGCAGTGCCACCCATCAGTGCAGCCTCAATGCACATCAGTGGAGAGAAAAAAAAATAAATAAAATTACCTGTTCGCAAAATTTTATAATTGAAACAGAAAAATTTTTCTTCAAATTTTTTGCTCTTTGTTTATAGTGCAAAAAAAAAAAAAAAAAAAAAAAAAAAAAAAAACACGCAGCGGTGATTAAATACCACCAAGAGAAATCTCTATTTGTATGTGAAAAAGATTTATAAAAATTTCATATGGGTACAGTGTCGCACGACAGCACAATTGTCATTCAAAATCCGACAGAGCTGAAAGCTGAAAATTGGCCTGGGCAGGAAGGGGGTATAAGTGCCCAGTAGGCAAGTGGTTAAACATGTCCAGTAAAATAAAAAAAAAAAAAAATCAAATTTAGTCATAAATTTAGGCCAAAATGTATTACGCTAAATGTCTTTGCTAAAAAAAAAAAATCCCAATACATGTAAATTAATTGGTTTACGTGAAAGTTATAGCATTAAAACAAAAAACAAAAAAAAAATCCCTGTATATATAGTTGTTAAATTTGTTTTTCTAATAAGTTTTGTTTTTGTTTTTTTGTTTTTTTTTTTAAATTTGACATCACAAGGGATGAACATTTCCTGTGATACAGGCAGTGACAGGAACACTTTACTGCGTGATCTGGGTCTATTAGACCCCAGAGCTCTTCTCTGCCCTGCCCTCAAAAGCATCTGATAAAGTGAGATCGGTTTGATTAGAGGCTTTATAAGCCAGTAACAGCTTGTATACAAAACAAATCCGGAAATGACAAAAATCCTTGTTGCTTCCAGTTTCATAGCTCATAACTATCATCAGGGAACAAAGTTCTTCCCTAGACTCTATTGCGTGCCACCCCTACCTCTGGTTTCAGTCCTGGGCTGCCCAGTGGGACAGGACAGCCTAGAAAGGTGGTGGAAGGCAGCAGGAGGGAGGCAGGGTGGGGCCACATTCCTCCTCATGTAAATCGCTTACATCCAGCATCTGTATAGCCGCTCAGATCACTTATACATTATAGAGCAGTGATGGCAAACCTTTTTGAGCCCGAGTACCCAAAACTGCAACACAAACCAACTTTTTTATTTCAAAGTGCCAACACTGCAATTAACCACTTGCCTACCTGGAGGCACTGACAGATGGCACTGATCAGCGGCACTGCTGGGCATCATTGATGGGCGACACTACTGGGCACTGACAGGTGGCGCTGCTGGGCAGCACTGACAGGCGACACTGCTGGGCATCATTGATGGGTGGCACTGATGGGCAGCACTGCTGGGCGACACTGCTGGGCACTGACAGGCGACACTGCTGGGTGACACTTCTGGGCACTGATGGATGACACTGCAAGCAGTTAATCTCACCTCTGGCAGCGTCGGTGTGGCTTCCAACCCAGCAGCTCATTCCCATCCACACTAAACACGTTGCCCCTGGCCCCGGAGCAGTGTGGGAGCCTCTTCCTCTCTTCCACGCCCATCCTTGGCTACATCACCCCTGGTGCCAGAGCCGCATTGGAGCAGTTTTCTCTCGTCCACACCCACCCTGGCCCCAGAGACATGTGGGAAATGTAGTTTGATGGGGGTCCAGTGTGGACGAGATCTGGATGGCTGGTCCATGTGCGCTCATCTTCCTCTTCTTCCCACTAAGATGGCTCTGCGTGCCAGCTCTGGCACGCGTGCCATAGGTTCACTGTTATAGAGCATCATCAGCTCAAAATAAATAAAAATATATATTTATATTATTATTTCCAGAGTCATGGACTGTAGCTGCAGCCATGACCCTGGTAGGAACACTGAAACCTGAGGATGTGCAGTTACGTCCATTTGGGGGAAGCGATTAAAGATGCCAGATGACTCAATAAGAAGTACTAAAAAGAACAATCCACCTGAAACAGACATTTTAGTAAAATGTGACTAAGCCCATGTTCACACTTGTGTAGCAAGTAAACAGAAGCAAAATCTTGCAATTTTATGCATGTTCAAGAAATACATGAAGAATCCATGTCACATTTGCTATGCCAGACTTTAAAAATAGCACCCCAAGCATGCTTTAAGCAACAAGCATGCACCTCCGTGCGGGATCCGTCGTTCTTTATTATATATATATATATATATATATATATATCTCCATGATAAGCTAGAATCAAAAAGTGCATGAGCTTTTTTGCTGCAATTGCCAAACGAAGGGCAGCAGTTACATCCTATATACGGGTGTATCATGGTGCAATAGGTGGACATAGCCTAAAAGACATTAAGCTCGATCCACAAAATTAACCTACCAGAATAAACTATCGTGACAGTTTTTTCAGCCGAGAGCCTATGAAGTTTCCACATGATAGCAACACTCACATTTTGCCAGAGATGGGTTTAAAGTTCATGGAAGAACTTAAGAGAAGGAGCATTAGGAGAAGGCAAATCCACACTGCCTTGTATGGTCAGGCATTTGTTTTAGTGACCTAACCAGGTTAACCAACTTGCACTGAGAGTTTTTAAGAATAGTTTTGTATGACATACTTTAGCACAATCTACAGGCACGCACCACACACAGGTCTGTGCACGTTTGTGAAGGGTCCCACCACTGATTGCTGGATGTCTGCTCTGTCCCCACTGCACTTTCACAGTACAAATACTTCACTATATTTCCAGGGCATGCTCATTGATGGGATTTCCATAAATAACTAGGCATCCAAAAGCTAAACAAAGAGGCTCATTTACAGGAGAGGCAGCCTTTGCCGCCCCTCTGAAATGTTATCTACAGAGGATCATTTCAGTGGGCAGTGGACAGAAGGCTCCACACCATCTGTTTTTACCCTAAAAAGCACATACCACAATAACATGCATTGCACACAGTTGCGATAAGGCCCTATTCACTTGAATGGGTCATGGTCGACAGCGTTACTGCCCACTGAATAATAGCTCATGTATCAGGGTATGTAAAATATCGTATTGTCTCGATATTTTATTAACTTGTATTGATGAGAAATGTTCAGATAGAAAGTCCTTCCACTTCTTGCATAAACTCAAAAAGATGATTTTAAATGTTGCATAAAATTAGAAATAAAATATTGGAATACAGAATGTTTAAATAATGTCCAAAAAATATAGTTAAGTTCTTATTTATTTATCGAGTTTATATAGCGCCAAAGGGTTTGCTCAGCGCTGTACAACAGAGGGGGGAATAATACATGAAACAGTACAGTAACATCAAACAGCACACAAGGGGTAAGAGGTCCCTACTCTTTCGAGCTTACAATCTAGGAGGGAGGGGGTAGAGGTACAGGAGGAAATGGCTGTGGGGGATGGAGTGGTAGGAGGAGGGAAGGGCAGTGGCTGTTAGGTGAGGGTGGGGTAGGCTTCCCTGAAGAGGTGGGTTTTCAGGGAGCGCCTGAAGGTGAGGAGGGAAGGTGACAGTCTGATGGATTGGGGTAGTGAGTTCCAGAGGATGGGGGAGGACCTGGAGAAGTCTTGCAGTCGTGCGTGAGAGGAGACCAGGGAGCAAGATAGAAGGAGGTCCTGTGAAGAGCGAAGGGTACGGGTAGGGTGGTACCTGGGAATCAGGTCGGTGAGGTAGTTAGGGGCAGTGTTGTGAATGGCCTTATAGGTCAGAGTGAGCAGTTTGAATTTAATGCGTTGGGCAATGGGGAGCCAGTGGAGGGAGAGGCAGAGGGGGGTGGCAGAGGTGGAGCGGCGGCTGGTGAGGTGGATGAGTCTGGCAGCTGAGTTCAGGATGGTCTGAAGCGGGGAGAGTTTGCATTGGGGTAGGCCGGTGAGGAGGGAGTTGCAGTAGTCAAGGCGTGAGATAATCAGGGAGTGTACGAGTAGTTTAGTGGTGTCTGGGGGTAAGGAAGGAGCGTATCTTGGCGATGTTCCGGAGGTGGAGCCTGCATGTGTTTGTAAGTGATTTGACATGAGGTTGAAAGGAAAGCTTTGAGTCCAGAATGACGCCAAGGACCTTGGCTTGCTGGGCGGGATTGATGGTGGTGTTGTTGGTAGTGATGGAAAGGATGGGGGCGCGGAAAGGGGGAAAGACAAGAAGCTCGGTTTTGGAGAGGTTGAGCTTGAGGAAATGGAGCGACATCCAGTCAGAGATGTCGTTTAGGAGGTGAGTGATGCGGGCGGAGAATGTGGGGGTGAGGTGAGGGGTGGATAGGTAGATTTGAGTATCATCAGCGTAGAGGTGGTAGTTGAAGCCGTGGGAGTGTATGAGTTTGCCAAGGGAGGAGGTGTAGATGGAGAAGAGAAGGAGGCCAAGGACAGAGCCCTGGGGACCCCGACAGAGAGGGGGAGGGAAGGGGAGGTGGCACCATTGTAGGAAATGCTGAAGGAGCGTTGGGATAGATAGGACGAGAACCAAGAGAGAGCGGTGTCTCTGATGCCAAGAGAGAGTAGTTTATTAAGGAGGAGGGGGTGGTCAACTGTGTCAAAGGCCGCGGAGAGGTCTAGGAGAAGGAGGACAGAGTAGTCGCCTTTGGCGGTTAGTAGATCGTTGGTGATTTTGAGGAGGGCAGTTTCGGTGGAGTGTAGGGGACGGAAGCCGGACTGTAGTGGGTCAAGGAGGTTGTTGTCAGTTAGGTGGGCGCTTAGGCGATCGTAGACCAAGCGCTCAAGGAGCTTGGAAGTGAGTGGCAGCAGGGAAATTGGTCTGAGGTTGTTGAGGTCAGTGGGGGTCCAGGGAGGGCTTTTTGAGTATGGGGGTGATGTGCGCATGTTTTAAGGGGGAGGGGAAGACGCCAGTAGAGAGGGAGAGATTGAAGATGTGGGTAAGAGAGCGGATGAGGGAAGAGGGGGGTGACCGGAGGAGTTGAGAGGGGATAGGATCCAGGGGGCAGGTAGTGAGGCGGGTTTCTGAGAAGACTCTGGTGACTTCCTCAGTGGTAGTAGGGCTAAAGGAGTGCAGTGATGGGGGGGTTGCGGTAGGCAGGGCCTTGGGTGTGGTGGGGGGCAGTGCCGTTGCGAGGTCAGAGGAGGGAGAGATGAGGGGGTGATGGAAGGGGGGAGGCTAGATGGGGAGGTAGATTGCAAGTTGACTATGTCCTTGCGGATTGCGTCAATCTTGTTGTGGAGATGAGTGGCAATCTCGTGGGCGGTAAGTGAGGTACTGAGTGGAGGAGGGGGGGGGGGGAAAGAGCAGGGAGTTGAAGGTGGAGAAGAGTCGGCGAGGGCAGGTGGAGAGGGTGTTGATCAGGTCAACGAAGTAGGCCTGTTTGGCGGCGTGGAGGGAGGAGGTGTAGGTGAGGAAGGCAGATTTGTAGAGGGAGAATGCATGAGGGGACCTGGTTTTGCACCATAGTCTCTCCAGCGCATGACTGCGACGTTTGAGGCATTTAGTATGTTCGTTCTGCCATGGTTGGAGCGGTATGGGTTTGATGTTGCGTGTGGTTAGGGGTACCAGAGGTCTAGTTCGTGTGTGTGCGTTCGTGTGTGTGTGTTCGCGTGTGTGTGTGTTGCATCAAGGCTTCTAGCAAAGAGTGTCCTTAAAAAGTCTTTGTTCTGCTCTTAAAAGAGCAATCCAGCCCCCACCATCTCCTAAAAAATGGGCTGATCTTCTCTTGTGTTCCTTGTAGTCCCACCAAGATAATTGGAAACAGATGTGTATATATAACAAACCCTCCAGTCTACTTCTCCTAAAGTCTAAGTGTAACCTAAGAAGGCCTAGACATTCCATCAGAGTAAATTAGATGTATTACTTACACACATTCTCCTAAAAGTAATCTTAATAAGAGTTCTCATATATAAATATCGTAATCAAGAAATATTACAGTATAAATCTTGTAAACCTAACATGTATGAAATAGATTTTTACAATTCTCTAGTGAAACAATCTCTTACATAGATGGGGGAGGATGTATAGACCAATTGCTACCCCATGTGTGGTTTGAATGTAAAGAAAACCCAAGATACAGTGGGGATCGAAAGTTTGGGCACCCCAGCTAAAAATTTATATTAATGTGCATAAAGAATCCAAGGAAAGATGGACAAATCTCCAAAAGGAATCAAATTACAGATTAGACATTCTTATAATATGTCAACCAAAGTTAGATTTTATTTCCATCATTTACACTTTCAAAATAACAGAAAACAAAAAAATGGCGTCTGCAAAAGTTTGGGCACCCTGCAGAAATTATAGCATGTACTGCCCCCTTTGCAAAGCTGAGATCTGCCAGTGTCATGTATTGTTCTCAATCATCGTCTGGGAAGACCAGGTGATGTCAATCTCAAAGGTTTTAAATGCCCAGACTCATCTGACCTTGCCCCAACAATCAGCACCATGGGTTCTTCTAAGCAGTTGTCTAGAAAACTGAAACTGAAAATAGTGGACGCTCACAAAGCTGGAGAAGGCTATAAGAAGATAGCAAAGCGTTTTCAGATGTCAATATCCTCTGTTCGGAATGTAATTAAGAAATGGCAGTC